TTGAATGACTGAGCATCTGTGTATACTGTACAGCAGATGCAGCATTCTGTAGGTCCGTATGCATCTATCACTTGGACATAACTAGCCCATCTCTGCCAATCTGCCAAAGTAACATGTTCGCCAGCTAGTATTACAACGTTTAGAGAAGGTACCTCGGTTGGTTCTAGGAGCCTTGCGACAGACGGTGTAAGCACTGCCCAGTTAACATTCATAGCACGTATAACCTGGGACAGACTACCGTGTCTATCGGCCTCAGAAGGCACGCAAACACAGCCACTAGACAGTAGTGTCGTCATAATCTCAGCAATACAAGCATCAAACGTGTAGGAAGCGAACTGGAGAGCTCGTGTGTGCTGTGTAAGCCCGAATCTCTTTCTCTCACGGCAGCAAGTCGAGAGTGCTTGGTGTTCTATAACAACGCCTTTAGGCATTCCAGTACTTCCAGACGTGAATATCACGTAGGCCGCATTGCTTGGAGTAATCATTGCTGTAGAGCCGATGCTAGGTTCGTCGCTCAAGAGAGTGATAGACGCTGCGCTTACGGTGACCACAGCAAGTTCTAAGTGCTGCCAAAGTGCTTCGTGATGGGCCGACGTGAGCAGTACGCTGGCCTTAGTCTGCTTGAGAATCTCGTCATGCCGGCTGCGTGGATGGGCGGGATCCAGTGGTACGAAGGCGCCGCCGGCCTTGAGCACGGCCAGCATGGCCACCACTGTCCACATCGACTTCTCGAAGCACAGTGGCACCATGTCTTCGGGCTTGACGCCGATCTGGACAAGGTGACTTGCTAGGTTGGTTGATAGTACGTCGAGCTGGCTGTGTGTCAGCTCGCCGTCCCAAGCACAGATGGCGGGCGCATTAGGCTGAGCTGCTGCTTGTTCGGCGAACAGGTCGTGGACACAGCGCTCGACTGCCGCCGGCACCTCGCAGTTCCACGTCCAGAGTTGGCTAACATCTTGATCCGCCAACAATGTCAAGTCGGATATGCGTGAATCTGGTCTAGTGATTAACTCTTTGATTGCTTTCCCAAAGGCCCCAGCTACACGCGTTGCTTGCCCTTGGCTCATACAGCTAGTCCGAAATTGCATCCCGACAGCCAACGACATACTATCATAGGCAGCGCCGACAACGATATCGTACTAGAAAAAAAGTCTTAGTTGAGACATACAGAAGCCACAGTGCTCTACAACTTACCTCTGTTGGGTCCAGGCCCTCTTGTTCACGGAAGATGATGCTGTCTGCTCCATCTTCCTGCACAACATCAGCCCGTTGGAGAGACAAGGCAGTGTTGAACAGGGGGGAGGTCCCCAGCTGCAGAGCGCTATGCACATTTGCGAGGGGGAACGTTTGGTATGGAAGGCTGTTCGAGTAGTCTTCCTGTACAGACCTTAGTGCACTTAGCACAGTCTGCTCTTCGCTGATCGCTAGCCGACAGACGAGCATGTTGATCATTGGACAGACGATCTCTTGGACTTTCTCGATCGGCAGATCGCGTCCTGAGGAGAGAGTGCCAAAGCACGGAGCTTTAGATCCTGTGTAAGCAGAAAGTACCAAGGCCCATGCAGTCTGTATGATGGTAGCGGTTGTGAGCTCCCACTGTTGGCAGAAAGCGTGGATGTCGTTCATATCGAGCCCTTGTACCTGCACCAGTCCGTCTCTGTAGGTTCCGCCCTCCCCGTCTGCCATTGAGGGGAAGTAGCACGGCTCGATGCCACGTAAGTACCCGACCCAGTACTGGAATGCGCTCTCCTGCGGCTGCTGCACTAGATACGACACAACATCTCGGAACGAGGCGCCGTGCGGGTCAAGATCGGCACTGTAGGCTGACTGCAAATCGCGTAAAAGCACTCCCTTCGCATGACCGTCAAAGATAGCATGGTTGATGTCAAGACAGAGGTACACCCGACCGTTCTCGAGCTGGCAGATGGAGAGATGGTGCTGCAGCTCGCTTGCCTGCTGAGGGCCAGGAATGCGGCGCGCACGGAAGAACTCAATCGTCGCCTTACTTCCTGCCGCGCGGTAAAACGAGATGGCCGGCTCTGGGTTCTTCAGCACAACGTTGGTGGTTCCTGAGCTCCCGGGAACGTTGTCCACCAGAAGCGTCCGTAACAGCGAGTGTCGCTTGACTACAGCCCTCCAAGCCTGCTGTAATCGAGAGCAGTCAACATCTGTGTCTTGCAAAGATACAGCTTCAAACACCAAGCAGGTGCGATAGGCGTTTGCGTCTTTGCTCTGACTGATGAGTATGCCTTGCTGCATTGGAGAGCAAGGATAGACATCTTCGACGTCTTCTGGTCGGATGTGCAGCCCACGCAGCGTATGGTTGCAGAAGTGGTCAAGGTCTTGGTACGACGTGAAGGCGAGTGGAAGGTCGCTCAGCGTCCATTCATGACCGCGGCCCTGGAGGAGGGACGGCATACTTAACAAGGTGGTCTTGTATTGCCGGACCCAGTCTCCAATGCGATCCTGGTATCTTACAGTACTGTCGCTCACAACAGCGACGTGCGCGCAACCGTTCTCGATGTGGCAGGAGACCTCAAACAAAGAGAGCCGCGGTGTTGCTGCCATAGACGTGGGGTCGCATGCTCCAGGGACAACGCCTTGCTTTAAGAGGGACTCCTTGCGTTCGAGCTGCTGGTAGACGCCTGAGTAGTTGAATGTCACCTCCACAGGGAATATGGACTTGAAAGCGTCAGCACAGCGCTGATCTGCAAACTGAGATGCAAAGTACAACCAGCCATTGTGCTTGAACGCGCGAGCGCAGTCTTTGGTTTGGCAGATGGTACGGAGCAGGCTGTCTTCCCGACTGCACGAAGCCTTCACAGGATACATGCTCGTAAACCATCCTACAGTTCGCATCAGGTCGATGCTGTCATCCCACACTTCGCGCCCGTGGGTCTCGGTGAAGATTGTGGGCGAACTTCGATCAGGAAAGGCAAGAGTGAAAGAGTAGATCAGAGCGGCTATCATGAGCTCAAAAGGACGTGTTTCGTACGCCTCGTTGCAGCTTCCAAGGAGAGCAGAGGTCGTCCAGCTGTCCAGTGTAAACTGCTCAGTGACCGTGTTGCCATACATGACAGTATCGGAATGTGCGTCCCAGTAGGACAGCTGATTCTTGTGTTCCTCAGCGTGTGATGCGCTATCAGGGACCACATGCTTCGTGATGTACTCGGTTTGGGCCATGACCCAGGTTGGGAAACTAAGTGAGGATACTGGAGGAAGCACTCGATTCAACAACAACTCCTCCAGCTCTTCCAGAAGCACGCGCCATGAGACCAGGTCAATCACCAGGTGGTGAGCCACAGTGAACAGAGACTGCTGGCCGCCCTCGTCGCACAGCACGGCTGCCACGACAGGCCCATTCTCGATGTCCAAAGAGTTGCGACAGTCGGCGATTGCCTGTGTGATCACCTCAGGGTCACTGGACTGGACGTACTGCACAGCAAAAGACGCATCGACACAGTCTGAGATGTACTGTTGCCACGCGCCGCCGTTCGGTCTGCAAAACCGAGCTCTCAACATAGAGTGCCGGTCGACAAGGGTGCAGAAAGCCGAGTGCAGCAGCTCTTTCTGTGTCGGGTCGCTGAGGCGTAAGAAGAAGTACTGGTCGAAGCAGGCTTTGCCAGTGCTTTCGAGTGAGAGATATAGCTCCTGGATTGGCGAGAGGTTGAACAGTATGTCAGTAGCGTCTCTGGTGGCTGTCAGCAAAGCGAGAGGCTCTTCCGCATCGACATTGCGGGCAAGTTGCCGGATAGTCTTCTTCAGAAAGACGTCGCGTGTAGAGAGGCGGATGTGAAGCCGACGAGCGCTTACAGACAGCTGCATGGCTGTGATTGAGTCGCCACCTAGGCGGAAGAAGCTGTCGTCGAGGCCAATTCTGCTGGGCTTGATGTTCAGCACCCGCGCCCACAATTGCTGCATCGTCCGCTCCGCCTCCGTCGACGGCGCCTGCTTGGCGCCTCCGCCCTCGCTCGCCGTCCGCAGCTCTGCCAGCTGCTGCGCCGAGAACGATGCGCCGATTTCGCGCAGCCGCCGCCGGTCCGTCTTGCCAGACGTCGTCGTCGGCAGCTCGACGACCGCAAAATACACTTGTGGTACCATATAGCTGGGTAGCTGCTCCGCCAGCTTCGCGTCTACGCTGGCTGGAAAGATCACTCGCGCTATCGAGCCAGCATTGGCCGCCTCGTCCGTCTGCACTGCTTCGCTCTCTTCACTGTCCAGCTGCAAGAAAGTCGCTAACATTGCGCTAGCCCCTTCTCCTGTCGGCAGGACCACCTCGACTGCCACTCGCTCCGCTGCCGGCATGCACTCTCGCACGTGGTGCGCCACCTCGCCCAGCTCCACCCGCTGCCCGCGCACCTTGACCTGGCTATCCTTGCGGCCCAGGCAGACCAGGTTACCGTCGGCGTTGTACCGAACCAGGTCGCCTGTCTTGTACAGTCTCCCCCGTCGCCCGGCGTGGCTGCCACACCCTTCCAGCAGCCAGGCGGGGTCGTCGATGAACGACGCCGCCGTCTTGTGGGCGTCGTTGAGATAGCCGCGCGCCAGGATCGGCCCTTCCACTAGCAGCTCGCCGACCGACCCAAGCGGTGCGAGCCTATGGTGGTTCTCGGGGTCGACCACCCAGCTCACCGAGGCGACCGACGTTCCAATAGTACCAGACTTAAAGCTTTGTTTGCCGGTGTATGTATTGCAGCACACTGAGCACTCTGTGGGCCCATATGCGTTGATTGTCTGAACAGTGCTGGGCCATCTGTCCCAGTCTGCAGAGCTGACTTGCTCTCCTCCTAGAACTAGTATCCTAAGAGACGGAAGGAGATCAGAGTCAAATGTTCGTGCTACGGAAGGAGTTAGAAGTGCCCAATTGACGTCCATGACGCTAATCGCCTTAGCTAGATCGCTGCATCGATCGCTGTCGGATGGCACACAGGTGCAGCCACCGTGCACAAGCGTAGTAAAAATCTCAGTAATGCAAGCGTCAAAAGTGTATGACGCGAACTGCAGGACACGCGAGAAGTCTGTGATTCCGAATGCTCGTCCATGGCCCAAGCAGCTCGTCGCAACCGCCCGATGTTCCAGTACGACGCCCTTGGGTGTACCGGTACTCCCCGAAGTAAAGATTACATAGGCGGCATTCGTTGGTTTAGCTGGGAGTCTACTATTATTGACTAGCGCCGGCAACTGCTTCGTGGATTCTTCGCTGACTGTGACTACAGCGCACTCTGAGCTGGCCCAGAGCATCCCAAACTGTGCCGATGTAAGCACCACTTTAGCTCCTATCTGCTTGAAGATGTCTTCGTGTCGGCTGGCTGGATGGTCGGGATCCAGCGGTACGAAGGCGCCGCCGGCCTTGAGCACGGCCAGCATGGCCACCACTGTCCACATCGACTTCTCGAAGCACAGTGGCACCATGTCTTCGGGCTTGACGCCGATCTGGACAAGGTGACCCGCCAGCTTGGTTGATAGTGCGTCTAGCTCGCTGTACGTCAGCTCGCCGTCCCACGCACAGATGGCGGGCGCATCGGGCCGTGCCGTCGCTTGCTCGGCGACTAGGTCGTGGATGCACCGCTCGGCCGCCGCCGGCACCTCGCCGTTCCACGCCCACAGCTGCTGCTTGTCCTCGGACGTGAGCGTGTCGATGCTGCTAACCATTGTTATCTCATGCTGTGCTGCAGCCAGTTGTTGTATGACGAAGTTAAGCTGGCCCAACATCTTCCCGACTAGCCAGCGCTCGATGACGCGCTCGTCGAAGCTGGCCGTGATGCGCACCTCTTCAGCAGCCACCGTGCACTGGACCATTAGCGCATACGTCGTGAAGCCCTGCAGCTCCGAATTGCCGCGCCACGCTCCCAGCACGCTGTCGCCCGCAAGGCCATCCTCGGCTGGCTGCACTACCAGTAACGTCTGGAAGCCGCAGGCGTGCCGAGCATCCGCCCCCATCCTGGCGATCCGCTGCAGGCCTGTCTGCTCGTGCGGTATCATCTCTGTCGCCTGCCGCTGCACGCTTTCCAGAAAAGCCATGACGGTCTGATCTCTCTCTATGCGCACCCGCACCGGCACAGTTGCAATGGTGGGCCCAAGCATCGCCTCGATGCCCGCCACAGCCGCGTTGCGTCCCGTCACCACCGCACCAAACACTACGTCGTCCAAGCTGGTGTACCGGCTGGCGAGGATCGCCCATGCAGCCCGCACAAGCGTCGACGTCGTCGTGTCGGACGCCGTCTTGGGCAACGGAGGACACTGGTAGTGCACTGTCGCATCGGCAGCCGGCTGCTGCACCGTCGTCGGCAGCGCAGGGAACGGCGTCGCCTCGCAATCCGCTAAAGCGTTCTGCCAGTACGCGGCCGCCTCGTCGGGGTCCTGGCGGCTGAGGTGCTTGATGAAGGTACGGAAGCCAGGCTGCTTTTGCATATCAGCCCCGTCGTACGCCTTCTCCACCGCGTCCATGATGCGCGGCAGCGACCAGCCGTCGTACAGCGCGTGGTGGACCGTCCACACGAACCATCGCTTCCCTGCTGCTGCTGCTGCTCCTCCCTCATGTCCTCTCCGCTTTTCCTTGACTATAGCATAGCGAGCCAGCAGATCGCCTACGCCCATCGAAGCTGACTTGTCCTTCTCCAGATACGTTTCGAGTCCTTCGGTCTCTGTCCACTGAATGTCTTCTACCATCACGGCCTGCAGCAAGCCAAGCTCGCCGTGTTGCACGATCCGCGTACGTAAGACTGCTGTAGAGTGGACAACTTGCTCCCACGCAGCCCGGAAAGCGTGCTCATCCACGTCCGCTCGCAGCTCCAGCACGCTCTGCATGATGTAGTCACCTGCTCGCTTTGCTGTCAGCGACATCAGCCCCTCTTGCATCGGCGAGCACGGGTAGGCGTCCTCTACAAGGTTCGCGTCCATGCCGCAGCTGGCTGCGACTTCCTCACGGATACGCACGGCGTCCGCGTCCGCGCCCAGCAGAGAGAAGGCGGCGATCTGCTCTTCCACTACCATGTCACGGTTGTTGACGTCCAAGCAGGCCAGTGCCGCGAGTTTGGGGCAGCGGAAGAGGTCTGCAACGGACAGCTGCAGTCCTACCTTACGAGCTTCGCCCACCAGCTTCATCGCCGCGATCGAGTCGCCGCCCAGACGGAAGAAGCTGTCGTCCAGCCCGATGCTGTCTGCCGCGACGCCCAGCACCCCCGCCCACAGCTTCTGCATCCGCAGCTCCCCGTCCGAAAGAGACTGCTGCACTGGCGCTTTGCTGCTGCGCTCTGTTTGTACCCGCTGCTCCAGAGCCTTGCGGTCCACCTTACCATTCTGTGTTACTGGCATAGTGTCCAGCACCGTGATCGCCTGAGGAACCATGTATGCCGGCAGCTGGGCTTGTAGCATCGCCATCAGCTGCTGTTGGGTCTTCTTCAGCATCCGCTGCCGCAACGGTCTGCTGCTGAGAGTGTGCAGCGGCCGATCTGTGTGCTCGGTAGGGAAGCGGAACAATCTCCTGTTCTCACCATTCCTCAGCGGAGACCGATGAAAGATGGCGTCGAGACCACCACGTTGTGAGTACTGCCTGCTCCAACTGATCTCGACACGGCAGCCCGATTCCTGTGCCAGCTCGACCAGATCAGTGGCGGACAGGGATGGCTTGTGCTGCGCTTGCTGATAGACTGATGATAGCCAGCCTGGGGCATCGCGCGTGTCTGCGCCCATATCGTCAAGCGCCTCGACAAGGCACCGATTGACAATGGTCTTGCTGTAAGGAATGTTGCTTATAGCTGCTGTAGACAAGCCAGAGAGACTTCTTAGCTGTTGTTGAAGAGACTGGCGGCCTAGCTTGCGCTCTGAGAAATCGATCCATTCGTCTTCTTTCACGATTTGAATCTCCCGCTTTGGCCCAGATCGAGACCTAACGTGAACAACCGCAGCATAGCGATAGCAGCTCAGCTCGTTCGTCGCCTTCATCCGCTTCGGCAGTATCTCGACATGCTCCACGAGCTCCGGGAGGCGGCCTGGTAAGGCAGTGAAGAATGCTGGGTCGACGAGCAACTCCGCTTCCACTCGCTCCATATCGGCCATTATGCGTCGAATGTCTGCCATGGTCGCCTTGTCGCCAGCCATGCGCAGCGCTCGAGCTGCCAAAAATTCTCGATGCAGCGCATAAGATCGAACGTCGCCAAAGAAGATGGTCTGAATGCCCGTGACCTGGAGTAGCTCTTGGACGACCTTGAACAGGTACTCTTGGCTAGGGAAGTACTGAGCGACCGAGTTCAGACTGGCAAGATTTGCTGTGACTGACGGCTTCAACCGACCAACGTCCATCGCTGTGGCCTTGTGCAAGCGGACTTTGCCCGCTAACGCCGGGATGGACTTTGCTATCTTCGCGACAAACTCGATTGCCCTTCTCGACGGGTCGAGTCCGACGTAACTTTGCAGGCCGTCGCCCAAGTTGAATAGAACCATGCCGGTCCCCGATCCGATCTCGAGCACGCTGCCGGGCTTGCTGCCGTTGAGCATCGTGTATATCGTGTCGTCTAGCCACTCGTTCATCTCCATCTCGTCTATCTCGCTGCCGTCGTACATGGACGTCCACCCGGTGAAGTCTCGCCCGATACGTTCGGACTGGATGTTGTTGATAGGTGAGTAGATGTCATTGTCGAATTGCTGTTCCCAAGTTCCCACATGCTGCGATTCGTCCTCATCGCCTCCATTACTATCTCCGTCATCAACCTGCTCATCGACCATTGCAGCGCCTTCGTCGACTATGACGAAGCCAGCGAGCCGGACCCCATCGCTGTCGTTTTGTTGTAGCACAGCCACTGCGTCGCTGACGCGCTTGTGGCTGCGGAGGACGTGCTCGATCTCGCCCAGCTCGATGCGCTGCCCCCGGATCTTGACCTGTCCATCCATCCGGCCAAAGTACTCCAGCTGGCCATCCGTAAGCCGATGACGGGCGTAGTCGCCTGTCCGGTAGGCCTTGACTGTCTGACCAGCAATTGTGACCGATACGAAGCGATCGATATTCCTCTCGGGATCAGTGTAACCCCGCGCCAGACCGTCGCCTGTGACCACGAGCTCTCCAATCACGCCGAGAGGAACAAGTCGAAGATTCGAGTCCATGACGTGGGCGCCGGAGTTGCTGAGTGCGCGGCCAATGGGGACACCGTTAACGCAGTGCTCTTCCTCAGTGAGGACAAAGATTGCGCTGATACCAGTGTTCTCAGTAGGACCATAGCAGTTGACTGCCTTACCCGGAAGGAGCTGCAGCGCCTCAGAAGCATCGCGCGGGTGCAGTGCTTCTCCTCCCAAGCAAAGCATCTCAAGATTCGTCAGCACTGCAGGCGCCTCTTGCGCATACTGTCGGAAAAGCGCTGGCGTAAGTACAGCCATGTTGATGTTCGTTCGATGAAAGATTCGAGACACAGCCACTGGATCGAGGACGGCCATGGCGTCGACGCAAACCAGCGTCCCGCCGTTTAGCAGACAGGCGTATATCTCCCATGTGGAGACGTCAAAAGCGAGAGTGGTTACATGCGCCATGACTCGCGTCTCCGGCAGGACTGGCAGGTGCTGCACAAGGTTGTTGTCTCGAATCAAGCGCACGATGCCGCGGTGCTCTACCATGACTCCCTTCGGCTGACCCGTCGACCCGGACGTGAACATGACATACGCGAGACTCGTCGCTAAAGGCCCAGCAGCAGCCGCTGCAGGTTCTTGAGGAGCAGATACCTCACTCGCCTGCTCTAATGCCTCTTCAATGCGGACAAATTCGACGGTGTTCAGTTTGATGTCAGGGGGCTGGACGTCAGCTCCAACGAGTATTACTCTCTGACCACTCGGAAGAGAGGACAAGACGGCTTCCATCCGCCCCGCTGGTATTTTCACATCGAACGGTAGGTACGCCAGGTTGGCCTTGAGAATGCCCAGAAACGCAACGATCGTCTGGCAGCTTCGGGCCGCAAACACACCAACGAGCGTCTCGGGAGCAAACGACAGTTTGGTTAACCACCCGGCCAGAACGTCAGACGCTAGGTCTAGCTGAGCGTAGCTCATCTCTGCCGACCCATCTTTGACGGCGATCCGGGACGGATGAGCAGAGACTTGCTGGCGAAAGAGGTCAACGATGTTCGAGTCACGTGGATATGCGGTCTGTTCAACCTGAACAAGCCCCATTCCGTCGAGCCGAGCGTAGTCGGCTTCTGTTAGCAACGCCATGGACGCGACTACCACCTTTGGCTCCTTGAGACAGGCGTCAAGGATGTGTCGGAAAAGTGACAGCATGTTCTCGATCGTCTCTGAAGCATACAGGTCGGTTGAAAATATGACTTCGCCTCGTAGCCCATTCAAATGTTGGAAGAAGTGGAATTCCAGGTCGAATCTCGACGTCGCTGTGTCGCCCATATTTTCAGTTTCCACACCCTCCAGCATTAGCTTGCCCAGGTCTTGCTGCGAGTGCACAGCAAAGATGAGCTGCACCAGCGGGTGACGAGACAGATCCCTGTCTTTCTTGAGCTTCGACACAATTTTCTCGAAGGGGACGTCCTGGTTGGCCAGCGATGCCACTGCTACCCCTTGCACCTGCTGGACCAACTCTTCGAATGTCTCATCTCCAACCGTGATCCGCAGGCATTGCATGTTAACAAAGAAGCCGATCATATCTCTCAGCTCTGATCGATCTCGATTGGCGTTCGCTGTCCCGATGGTTGCATCTTCCTGCCCAGTGAGACGGAAGTGCGTAGCCCGGAAGGCAGCGAGCAGGACCACAAACAGCGTCACCCCGCGTGCTTTGCAGAACTCTTGCAGCCTGGCGAACAACGAGTCATCCACGTCCAATGTCCGCATATCAGCATGGCCAGACAAGGCAGCAGGTCGCGGCTTGTCACAGAGCAGTTCGGCCGGCCTGCTTGTTTGCAGCTGCGCAATCCAGTACTTGAGCTGTCTGTCGTGCTCATCGACCTGGGCTTGCTGTCTTTGCCATACAGAGAAGTCGCGATACTGTATTGGCAGAGGCTGCACCTGCGACAGCGGGTCCTGGCCGCGGATTGCGGCAGAGTAGCATGCACTCAGCTCACGCGTAAGCACGTCAACAGACCAGCCGTCGGAGATGATGTGGTGCATGACAATAGACAGCACGTGGTCGTGTTGGTCGACCCTGTAGATGGACACTCTCCATCCAGGCTCCGTAGCCAGGTCAAAGGGAGCTGTCTGGTCTTGCTGTACAGTGTTCGCGATTCCCTGCTTGCTGCCTTGGACAACGTCGATGACATTCACCGCTCTTGATCTGAAAGGCTTCACATCCTGCACACTCTTTCCTTCTACAGTAGCAAAGGTAGTGCGAAGCGTCTCGTGACGGTACTCGACTGCAAGAAGCGCAGACTTGAGAGCTGCAAGCTGGAGTGGGCCTTTGATGCGTACTGCGAAGGGCATGAGGTACCAGGTCAGGCCAGGGTACAGTTGTTCTAGGAACCACAGTCGCCCCTGCGCAAACGATTGCTCGACAGGTCCCTCGTGATCAACGCGAGGGATGGCGATGGGTGAATCGTGAGTTGGTGAGATGGCCACAGAAGTACATTGGTCCAGACGGGGATGGCGGAAGAGGTCTGCAACGGACAGCTGCACGCCGTGCCTGCGCGCCGCGCCCACCAGCTTCATCGCCGCGATCGAGTCGCCGCCCAGGCGGAAGAAGCTGTCGTCCAGCCCGATGCTGTCTGCCTCGATGTTCAGCACCCCCGCCCACAGCTGCTGCATCGTTTGCTCTGCTTCTGTAGTTGGCGCTCGCTTCACGGCCTGGCTCAGCGTGCGCAGCTCGACCAGCTGCTGGGCGGAGAACGAGGCGCCGATCTCGCGCAGCCGCTTCCTGTCCGTCTTGCCAGACACTGTCATGGGCAGCTTTGCAACGGCAAAGTACACAGCTGGCACCATGTAGCCTGGAAGCCGCTCGGCCAGCTTGTTGTCTGTATCGACTGGGAAGATCACTCGCGCCAGTGAGCTAACTTTAGTCTTCTCATCTGTTGGAGGTGTTGGAGGAGTATTGCCAAAGTCGTTGTCCAATTGCAAGAAGACTGCAAGCATTGCGTTATTCTTGTCTTCCCCTAGCAAGATCACTTCGACAGCTATCTGCTCAGCCTCGGGCATGCACTCTCGCACGTGGTGCTCCACCTCGCCTAACTCCACCCGCTGCCCGCGCACCTTGACTTGGTTGTCTTTGCGGCCCACGTAGACAAGATTGCCGTCACGGTCGTAGCGGACAAGGTCGCCCGTCTTATACAGCCTACCGCATCGCCCATGGTAGCCTCCGCCGCCTGCAAGCAGCCAGGCAGGATCATTGATAAAAGCTGACTGCGTCTTCTCAGCGTCGTTAAGATAGCCGCGCGCAAGGATCGGGCCCTCTACTAGCAGCTCTCCAACTAAGCCTAGCGGGACAAGCTGATTGTAGTCGTCAGGGTCTACCACCCAGCATACCGAACTAACTGGCTTTCCGATTGTTCCTGACTTGAATGACTGAGCATCTGTGTATACTGTACAGCAGATGCAGCATTCTGTAGGTCCGTATGCATCTATCACTTGGACATAACTAGC